CCCGCTGCGCTTGACGCTAACGGTTGACCCCGTAAAGCCGACCCAATCAAGCAAGCCAGCAAAGCCAGCCAAACCAGCCCGCAGCGTCCCCCGCTCCCTCGAAACCAAAAGCCGTCATTGGAAGGGGCGTCAAAATCACCCGAGGTCCAGCTCAGATGGTGCCTGGTACGATCGGGATGCAAGAAAGACGACTGACAATTTCTTGGTTTCATGCGTCAAGTTCATTGAGTTCACTTTGTGGCTCAAGGATGCGTCCTCCCGGATGCCGACCCGTGCCAGGATTTCTTCCAAGTTCGCCTGCGGGCGTTCATCAAAGTGCCTTAAGCTCAAGTTCCTGAGTTTCCGAAATCAATAAATTTTTCAGAATCGTACACATGAAGCCTGGGATCTATAGAACGAACCATCATCTAGGTGCTAAGGGAGATATGGAGAAACGATTCTTAGTAAGTCTTCAAAATTTTGCCCGTCCCACTCTCTCACTCTCTCTGTCTCTCGCTGTCTCTCTCGCTCTCTCGCTCTCTCTCTCTCTCTTTTTCTCTCTCGCTCTTTTTCCTTCGCCTTCCTTGTTTACTGCGGCGAAAAAGTTACTTCCTCGTTTACTGCAGAGAGAGAGAGAGACGAGAGAGAGACGAGGAGAGAGAGAGAGAAAGCGATAGAGAGAAAGATATGCATTTCTACAGCCTTCCTAAACAACGTCCCCTGGAACGACACGGCGACCGTGGCCGACAAGCGCGTCTACAACGCCTACAAGCTGTGCATGGAGACGGGCGAGGATGAGTTGCGTGGGTTTTCTAAACCTCATCGACCAAATATTCAAAGCCTAAATACTCCCATTTTCTAGAGAGGCCTCCGCGACGCACTTTCGACGCTATGGGAGGACCCCCATTTGCACCGCAGAATCCCGCCCCAGCCTGGAAAAGCCGATCTGCAGGCTGACCGGCAGGCTCTGGCAAAGCCGTTCCCTACGCGTACGCGGAAACCGGACAAAAAAGGCTTGGAGAAATGGTGTACAAGGCGGAGTGCATCAGGAGCCAAAGCGAGAGTGATGTGCCAGAGGCGCAGGCTGGTCAAAATGATCAGTTAGGGAGAGCGAACGGAGAGAGAGAGAGAGAGAGAGAGAGAGGAGAGGAGAGATGAGATCTATCTAAGATGGTACACGGACTGATTTTCTAGATCGCCAAGAAGCTGCCTACGACTTTCCGAGGCCCTACTTCCCCTCGACGACCTTGATGACCTGGGAGGCGCGACCTCCGGCTCCTACAAGAGCTTCGTGGAAGAGGCTGGGAGGCACGTTTGAGCATCTACCAAATCAACGCTTCCGGGTCCGGGCAGATTCCTCAGGGAAATCGACGAAGGGCGGCGGTTTCACCCGTCGGCGGAGGTCGCGGAGCAATACCCAAATGTGAGCTCGTGCTCACATTATGAAATTGCTATCAGATCCCGCTCTTCACCTTTTTTCCGGAATGGCTACCCGATCTTCAAACTCAGCGGGATCAAGTCGCCCAGTTCCCGGAGCAATATTTTGAGATGTGAGGCGAAAACTAGAACAGTATCGAAAAAATGTCTTTTTGACTGCTCGTAGGCGTAAAACTACACATTTTGTTTGCAAAACTCAAAAATGGGTTTTTTGAAGATTTTCAGCTAAAACACATATTTTTTTGATGAGTTTTAGATAGTTTAACTCAAATTTCATCCAGGTATGCCATTTAATAGAATTTTTCAGCTCAATCGCTACCTCGAAGATCACCAGGAAGAGGCCAGGGAAGCGCTGGTCATCCAATGGTTCCTCGACCAACTGCCGACCCTTGGAAACGACTATGAGACCATTCGAAAGGTATCGTTTTCTTCAATCCACGGCCTTACTACCTATCCCAGACCTACAGCTCGCCCTACGACTACAAGCCGCTGGATACGTACTGCTTGGATAAGGTAAGTTAATAAAGTTCAAAAAACTGAATTTCGAAGATTTAGATCTTAAAATCGCATCCACGCTGGAAGGACATCATCCTCCTCGAGCGTCACTACCGGCAGCAGATTTCGGGAGTGTTCATGTAACATTTTGAAAAATATGTATTTTTAATTTTCTACGATGTCTTGGCATAATTATCTTTAACTGGCATCTTTCAGGTACTACATGAAAATTGCTTGCCGCCTTCCAAGAGATCATCCGCGAGAGCCCGTGGGCCGATGCGGGAAACCCAGAAGAATGCTATTGAAAAGGTATTGTAACGTATTCGATAACTGGTTCCGTAGTGTAGACGATATTTTAGATAAAAACATGTAAGCTCCTGGAATATGCGCAAAAATCATTCTAGGTCGCCAACGTCGAGGTGTTCGTCGGCCCGGACTGGACCCCTGGTCCCGATCGCTCGTCGACGAGTATTACCGAGATGTGGCCTGAATTTTAACAGACTACAAACTACAATTAATTCAGTTCCCCGCCACCGCCGACAGCTGGTACGCCTTCCAGCAAAAAGGTCAAGCACTTCGATGGTTTCCTGCACTACAATGTGAGCGTTTCCGCTTTTCATGCTTCCTGCGGCAAAAATTAATTAGCTATTTTTTTTTTAAAAAGTTAAACCCGCTTTAGCACTCCCAAGAAGAATCTCAGCCCGCCCGGAGGCGATCAACGACTTCTACTCCTTGCGTACGTCCAAAAAGACAACTACTTTTCAAAAAATGGCACACTTAAGGTTTCCATTGGGCGCCGCTGATTCCGCCACTATACCACGTCGACGCGGCGCTCGAGTTGCAGCACGGCGCGCTCGGTTCATCACATCGCCCCACGAGATCGCGCACACCATTGATCCAGGATGTGGGTAGAATTTGCAATTCCTTATTAAGCTTCCAATAAAACTCTGATATTCTAAAACCTAAATGATTTCAGGGATCAATCGCGATACACAGGTGCTCGCCGGCGATGAGGACGAGGGCCAACTCGCCGAACAAGTCGAGCGTACCGATCATCAGTACCGGAACGCCACCTTTCCCATCGTCTCGTCGAATCACACCTTTAGGGTAGAGCTGTTATAACTCAAACAAAACAAGGCCTCAAACAAGCTTGTTTGAACAATGCTGTTTGATAGGGATTTTAGAGAACCAAATCAACACGTTTTGTTTGAGATGACTGTTGATCGCTCAAACAAAACAAGATTGTTTGACTCATTTGAGCAGTTTGAGTTTTGTTTGACCTTGTTTGAAATGCATGCTAATTTTGGATTTAAAACGTGTTTTTTGGGTATTTTCAGCAATTAGCATAAAATTCCTTCCGATTAAATTTGTTTTTAAATACTTGAATCCACTCTCCGGCCCATCAAAAATTCCCCAAAATCGAACAGTTCACGACGCCTCCAAACAAGTCCAAACAAGTAAGAAACTTGCTTGATTTGATCCCCTGGAACTCAAATCAAACAAGGTTGTTTTGTTTGAAATTTTTTCGAGCTCAAACAAAGCAAACTTGTTTGGGAGCTGTTTGGAATAATTTGTTGTTTGCTGCTTGAGTTATAATAACTCTACTCTTTAGGGCAGGTACTCAGAACTCTTACATAACGCAACGTAAAATCCTTTACAAATCAAAAACAAAAATGATTCACGATGAGAAACCACAGATTTTCGACGAAATCTTGGACATTTTGAAGTCTTCAAGTTTTCGAGGGAAAATTTCCACTTTACGGTAACCAAATAAAATGCCGATTTTCGACTGGAATCGATAGATCTCTCATCGAGTTCTACCATTTCCAGTTGAAAAACTATTGGGACTCGCTTCTAAAAAAATTTTATAAACATTTTAAATTGGCTAGTTCACTTTACGGTAATTCAATAAAATGTCGATTTTTCGACTGGAATCGATAGGATCTCATCGAGGTCTTGCGTTTCCCGTTGAAAAACGATTGGGAACCCGCCTTTAACAAAAAGTTATAAACGATTTAAAGTGATTGGTTCACTTTATTACGGTAACCCCGTAAAAATGCGATTTTTCACCTGGGATAAATAGATCTCGTCGAGTTCTAGCATTTACAGTTGAACAAAACTTGGGGAAAGTAGTTCGGAGGAGGCTACCCTATATTTTTGACATTTCCGACTATGACATTGCCGAGGCAAGGCGGGCCGTCGGGTGGGTGCCAGAAGCCCGCAGGCAGAAGCCCGATAGTACCAAATGCCCGCAGGCAAAAGCCCGAAGGCAGATGCCCGAAGGCAAAAGCCCGAAAGGTCAAAAGCCCGCACGGTCAAAAGCCCGAATGGACAAAAGCCCGCACGGACAAATGCCCGGAACGGTCAAAAGCCCGCCATACATTTCCGTCCGCCACAAACAACCATTTTTCCTGAGCGGTGGAAAATCTCTCCAGGGTTCAACGTCATTTGTAGTCGTTCCTTCCGCACTCGATAGTCACTTCCGTACCAAAAACTCATCATCTTCTGCTGTTTTCCAGTCTAATTATTTCAAAAGCTAGAGATTGAGCAACAACATTTTATAGACAAACAAACAACTTATTGGAATAACGAAAGTATTGAAGCTTTTTTGAATCTCTATCTTTTTTGAAATAATCATACTTCAAAAAAAGACGTATCCACTTTTGGGCGATCTTTTTTGTGAGAACGGAAATGTATGGCGGGCTTCTTTGACCGTTCGGGCATTTGTCCGTGCGGGCTTTTGTCCATTCGTGCTTTTGACCGTGCGGGCTTTTGACCGTTCGGGCTTTGCCTTCGGGCATCTGCCTCGGGGCTTTGCCATGGGCATTGGTACTATCGGGCTTTCTGCCTCGCTGCCTTGCTCGACCCACTCTGCCGTCGCTTCGGATGGGCTGTCGCTTCACTTTTCGGAAATAGGGCCCCCCGGCAGCTTCGCCGGCCTTGGCGCCCCATTTCGAAACCCTGTACGAGCTCGCACCTCCATCCGGAAGCGACTAAGCCCCCGGTGGCACGAAGCCTTTTTCTAGTCGCAGAGCGGAAGAAGTAGCGGTCACTTCCTCCAAATTGACTGACTCCTGTTGCAAAACCGTCTTTTTGATGTCTCAGAAATTCAGAAATTGGGAGGCAGCGCAAAATATGTGATAATAAAGTTTTCCTGCGCCTTTGCAGCGGGCTCCTGTATTTGGTACCCCAGTACGTTCACAACTATTACGTTTTTTCCGTACAAAGGAGTCCCTCGTAGCCGACACCGACTTTTTCGATGCGGGGCGAATTGGTTTAAAACAGCTATAACTTTTGTTAAAAGCGAAAGTCCCAATCGTTTCAACGGGAAATGGTAGAACTCGATGAGATCTATCGATTCCAGTCGAAAAATCGATATTTTATTTAGTTACCGTAAAGTGAAATTTAGCCACTTTCTACTTATAAACGTACAAAAATCCTCGCCACGCTCCGGTACGCCAAAACATTTCAGCAACCCGGCAACCAAAACACGAAGAAACCGTGGAGGATAATGCAGCCGTCAGGGCGGCTTTTCGCGTAAAGTTTGCTTCCCCAACGAAAATAGTTAAAAACATCGATAAATCACAAATTTAGGGCCTACCGCAACGAGCGGAGGCGCCTCTACGGCCGGGTCGAGCCAAAACTTCCCGGACTCGACGCCTACACCCCGGATCAGCTCTATTTTGTGGCGGCGGCTATGGTTTACTAAAACAATGATATATTAACTCATTTACGTCTTTAGTTCCACTGTGGCGAGCACAGCGATGGCGATCTTGAGGGGTACATATGGACGAGCATCCGATTGGCTACATTCGTGTCAATGAGGCTTTATAAGCACCAAAATTGCTGTTAAAAAACGGGCTCTTTCAGATGATGAAAAACTCGAAGGACTTTTCCCGCGCCTACAAGTGTCCGGTAAGGAAAAAGAAACTTTTAAAAATACAAAATTTCTAGCTGAACTCGCCGATGAACCCGGAGAAGAAGTGCTGCGTGTGGCGCCACAAGAAAGATCTGATTCCGGAATCCGGCCAATACTCAAAACGTCGCCTTCATTCCACGATATTTGTGCACGCCTGAGTGTAAATAAATTGTTCAGTGCGTAAACTGCCGCGCTATCCGGGTCCGATATTAATTTAAGGCATCCCTATTTATAAACCGTAAAATCTGAGCAACATGAGCAAAAAATGACAACGCAAATTCAGGCATTTTGACAGCACGGCTGGCCAAAGATCATCACCTCTGGTAAGAATACAAACGAACAAGGACAATGAGAGATCGAAAATGTGGAGCTCACATTGGTTCGCCATCAACGGGCTGGGCTACTTCCGGAATTTTCGTCGGCACCCGGTGACGCAGAAGCGGTGGCCCTGGTCGGCGATGAGCAGGCAGCCCCCGTATCCCCTCGTGCAGGCAGCCATTTGCTGTGCTTTCATCCTGCGTTGGGACTGAAAAAGCAATAAAAATTGTAAAAAATGACCAACCGAATAAGCTCGCCAACCGCCCGGCGTCGAAATCCAAATGACACAGCCGCCGCTCGCTGACCGCGCCTACGCGATGTCTAATTTCCACCGACACGACGGCGCCTAGTAAAAAACGAGGTGAACTATACGCTTCATCTTACCCTTCTCGGTTGGCAATAAAACATCGATGCCCAAAATTAGCGTCGGCTCATCAGCGGCGTCGGACCGAGTGGTAATGTCCCAAAGGTATTCCGATAAATGTAATTTTTCGACTAAATACCATATTCCTCCTTGCCGAACTCGATAACTACATCCGGCTTCGACGGTTTCTCCTCGCCCTTCCAAATCTTTGCTCGAAAAGATAGCCCGCCTCCCTTTTGGATGGCGCAGATCCGGAATTCTCATCACTAAAAAGGGTAATGAGCGCAATTAAATAAACCACATACCGCTCCCGGGCCTCGATATTTTCAAAAGCTTCATCCCTTCTCGTCCAAACACCAAATCGGTGCCCGCGCATCCCGTGGATCCAATCAGAAAAATTCATAGTAGAAAATACCAAATTTGTCGTATTCTCGCTCACTTTCTTCGCGTATAAATTTCTTTGAAAGTACGGTCGATTGGGCAAAGATGAGCTGGTTCGCCGTCGTGAGCCTACGGCTTCGCCGGCATTGTAGGCAAGCTGGTGCTGCCGTAAATCGAGGTCGACGCGTCTTCGCTCAAGTAGCCGGAGAGCTAAAAACATGTGTGATAATCTATCAATTAACATTACGTGATTCAAACCACCCGCTTCGCGGGGCGGCAGCTGTTCGGAGGTCACAAGACAAGCCTTTGCCCCCAAATCAGAACGTGAGCCATCGACAATTGAGCGGATGGCAATTCGCTGGCGGCAGTTGGGTCGATGTGAAGCCGGGCGGCTTTCGGGCTTGAAGAAGTGGCGAAGCAGCGACTCAAATTAATTATTAATTAACTTCTGATATTAACTTTAGTGCGTAGCTCTAACTTCAAATTTATTAGTTTAATTTTTCTTGCCTCTGCGGCATCCAGCGCGGATCGTATGCCGAATATGACAATAAACAGTGCTGCGCCATCTTCTGCAGCTTTGTCCCGCGCCCAGTAAGATCGGAAAGGCACGGCTCGAGGGACAATAA